AAGCGAGTCTAGCATGGAATGTAAATTATGTAACAGAACGAAATGGCATTTCATAGACGATACAATGTAATTAATTTTCAGACGTGACCTATTGAATTATAAAGTCCACAAAAGAAGCCCTAGCACGCATAATTAATTTTACATACTATGAGAATTATCTTAATTAGAAGACATCTATATTTCATAGATTTTAATGACAAGCGATCTATATTTCATAGATTTAATGTGCGTGAAATTGACAAAGACAAACCATACGAAATTCAGCATTAACAATTTGAGCAGCGGCATTGATGCAACGGCCTAACCATTCATTTAAGTCGAATGGTACATCACATTATTGCTAGCATGTCGACGAAAGCAGCATTCACACGATTCTTACTCTCCTTAAATTTGACACATCGAAAACATCAAAATTCAATAAACATAAAAGGGACATTTACGCGAACTTTTAACATCCTAGCTTTCCAAAGGTTAGGTGATAGTTAGTATGCCATGTCATCGATGCTCGGTAAAAGCTTACACCAATGCATAGGAAATCATTTTATATATATAAAATTGGTGGATAAGTTTACGTAGGTTCCATCAATTAAATTAGATTGATTGAATTATAGTACAATATCACCGTTGCTCAACGAAAACTAAGTATTGAGTAACGATATTTAGGAGTTTATTTCTTATTATCATAATAAAAAGAAGTAAGGGAGTAGAAATAGTGGTTGAGATAGGGGTAGCCTCCCTCAATTTTAAAGCTACAAGACAATGACATTATTCTAGCTGGTGTGAAATCTTTGTTTTTGTTGACTAAATGTCGATGCTACCTAAGTTCCTTATGTCCCTATGAACGATTGGAACATTGTTTGTATACATGCATCTAATATATTCTCTTCTCGTGAAGATGAAAAAAATATAGAAATCCCATATAAGAAAGAATGAAACTCTCGATTGGTCCCCAAAATTCCATGCATAATTACTTTTTCAAGAATAAGTTAAAATATGCGGTTACAACAATGAATATAAGTCGTATACATCTTCAATAAATGATAACTTGAACGAAAACTTTTAGGTTTTCATGACAATACTCCAAAAAGCTCGTCGTACTATTTATTTAGCTTTCGTTCGGGAAGAATATATTAATAGTTTAATTTATAAATAGATAAAAATAAGTGAATAATACTTGTAAATTCATTGTATGCGCGGTTAAAAATAAAATTTGACAATTTATAAGTAATTTACAAATTTGCCCCCAACGAAGGCTTATTTATCATAAATGAGTGAAGTGATATCCAATTAAGGGCCAACACTTATAGTTGAAAGATCAATTACAATGCTTTGTAAAGCGAGGCGAGCATGTCGGGATCATATAGAATGTGAAGGATACGATGGAAATCAAAGAAAACTCTCATCTCTTGATTTCGCTTATACGTAACTCACTTATTTCGTTTTTAACTGTAAAACAACGTCAAAATAAACCTCCAACAAAATGTTAATCTTCGAATATCCTTTCTTTATAAAAAATGGACTTTGACTAGTTCGATTCATTTTTGCTACTTTTTTAATGGATCGAAAATTGAATTTAAAAAAAAAAAAAACTCACTATTAATAATAATCCATAACAATATTCTTTCTTCAATCATACATACGATAGAAAATGGATTAAATCTTCATTGGCCCGCGACGAAGACTGCATTAAATTTTCCGAATTGTCTTTAAGCTGGAATTGATTAGGAAATGGAGTGAGGTCTCAAATCAAGGGCCCCTACAATTAATTTGGCTACCACACGTGTATCTTGATAACAACAATTTAAATACGACCCCCACCAATAAAAAATAAATAAGGCTCCATTTGATTGACGGAATTTTTCAGGGAAGTAGGAAAATATTTTCCACTTTCCACTTTTTTGGCTGTTTGATAGGCGAAATTTTCCACGGAAAATATTTTCCTACTTTTCCTCACACGTGTGCATTTTCCTGATTTTTGATGAAAATGTTTTCCCGCCTTTTTGGTGAGAAAATATTTTCCCGGCTGGCTGGAATTTTTTTTTTGCAATGGAAACAAATGTCATAATCAATGGTAAAAAAAGTTTCACTTTAATGGACAATTTTCATGTAAAACAAAGTCAAACGAACACTAAACTTTGATAAAAAAAAATGATTTTTTAGGAAACAATTTTTTTCCCTTTTTTTTTTACTTTTTGCAATGGAAACAAATTTTATAACCAATTGTG